GCTTCTGATGACAAAAATGGTTCGATGCAACAACTGTGGGAGAAAAAATGCAAGAGAAAACAAAAATAAAAAAAAAACAAAAATAAAAAACAGTCTCCCCTCCACTCCCAAGTGGTGGGGATATGCCTGGACAATAATCGAGACAAGTCTGTATACGTTCATTGTCGGTAGTTCCTAGTCTTGATATCGTATACAGTCGATATTTCTCGTATGTTATCATACATATCCTGAAAACTGCAGAACGAGCACTGCAATCGCCAGAAGCATATAAAGGTCGGATCCAGAAGAGTAAGCAAAGCTTTCAACGAAATCAATTTCCGCGGCAGCTGCATTTCCGCCGTCGACGACGACACGGGGGAAAAATATCGTCGTCGGCACAGTTCCGCGAGCTCGTAAATAAACATTATTGCCGTGTGTACGCGAACGAATTTAGACCGTTTCGTCGATGATACTAACAGTTGTGCTCGAACTGGAGAAGAGACGATAGAGAGTTCTCTTGTACCAAAATTCAAAATCGATCTCACTCCCGCAAACAGGCGTGGATCCGTTTAAACTTTCAACTACGTGGAAAACCGCACTCTGACTCGGAATTACCGTGGTCGTGCATACACGGTGCCGCAATTAACGTGACCATTAATTGAGTATAACCATCTCTATCCCTCGTTCGGACTGAGAATATTACGAGATATACCGGTATGTGCCTCGGAAAGGCGTCTGTAGATGTTTTATTAAATAAATAGTAACACATAATAGTATGAAACTGATTTGATTGCATTTCCTAAGCTAAAAGATGTTATAAATGTATAAACAACGGCAGTCTAGCAATGAGAAATAAGAAAGTGCTTCTAAAGATTATAGAATTGTAAAGAGTAACGAATGATTTTCCACGCACCAAAATGGCTTACAAAATTTCTGAATATTTCTTTATACATATTAATACTTTATACACATTATATATTACCGAATATTAATTAATAATTGGAACACCCAGTATATACAGATGAGGAACTTTGAAAAAGAGATGATACACTAGCAGAAAGTAATATCTGTCGGGGAAGGAACTTTATACGGCGTGTAATCGCGCTTTGTATTTTATCAAGATCCCCGATCCAACGACGGTGAATTATGTAATTGGGAGTCGGCCCGCGGGCCTGGCGGAACCAGCTGAAAACCACCAGTCCCGGGAAAGAAAATATTTTCCCTTCTTCTCCCTCTTGATACCGGAAAATTGCGGATGAAAAGTTCCCCGCAGCTCGGAAATTGTCGAATGAAGAAACAACGAGAGAGGGCGAGGGATTGAAACCGAGGGATGGAAGGAAGAAAAAAAGAAGGCCCGTATTCACCCTGCGGCGAGTGGTTCAGCCAGAAGATTGGAAGCGTGGTCGAAAGAAAATTTCAATTAATCTACGCGGCGATATTAAACTTCGAAATTCGTTCCGGTGTTTCAATCCCTCGAAACCATTTTCCAACGACGACGCCCTTATAGTTATCATTGATACTGTGCAAATTCACATACGTAATTACAGACTATACACCTCATCCAACGAGTCCAATCAGTAACTACAATTAATCACACTATAATTATATGTATATTCACAAATCGATGAGTTAGATATGGCTTTTAAACACTCGGGTCCAAACGGACTCGGTCACCGTACTCCAAGGGTTAATGAAGTTAAATCAGGTTTCTTTTTATTTCGAGCCTGATGGAACCCTTAACAGAATGAACAAATATCTGTTTGATTGTCTCTGTAAACTAATCCATAAAAATCTGTATTTGCATAAATATCCCTAGTCTAGTGATGCCCATTTAGATGGTACAGGCACAGAGACAGTTTCACGTCAATTTCTCGGCTTAATACCCACATGTTATTCTAGTTATTTTTACTGTCTCTAATTCCTGCAATTTATTTTCTATCTTAAACGTTTCATTAACTCGTTAACGAAGGGAAAACTCTATTTAAACGGTCAAAGTCTTAAAATTTCAGGGATCACGGAGATCGTAGCTATTCAAGCGTACAAGATCCGCAGGAAAGCTCGTGAGCGAAACAGCGCAGTTCTCCGATTCGCGAAACCGCGAATTATCAAACGCACGAAATTACTGTTGATACACTCGCAAGGGAACGCATTAATTGGTGAGCGCTGCGAGTACCATTAACGTTTTAATTAGCGGCGAAGCACAAGCCCTGATACGTCGGCCGACATTTCCTCCGCTGGCGCGTTGCGCCCGCGATCGATGCTCCGGCATTACCCAGCTAAACGGCAACATTCTATTTATAGACACAACAAACACATTTTCTTCCGCGAGCACACATACACATATTACCATCGAGAGAACCGTCGTCGTTCCCGTTCCAGGGCCCAGGAACACCAAGAAATCCAATTAACGCCGACGCGAACACGGATTTTTATCAGCTAGCCTGCTCATCCCCCTTAGTTTTCCTTGCAACTTCTCCATTCCACCCACCCCCGCACCCGGAAACACGATCCTTCAGACACTTTTGCTCTATTGTCCAGACGTTTTCCATCCGTCCAACACCCTCTATAGGAGCCTCGGGTTGCACCCTTTTCGGAAGGGTGAAATGCTAACCGGAAGCAAGCGAGACACCAAGTGGAAGGGAATCCCTTCTAATTTTCTAAGACGATGACGATGGATTTCTGGGGGAGACTTTATGTGCGTGACACTTTAATGGTAAATCATAAGATAATTGGACGTGCATTCGCATTGTTGTGCATTAACCTGATCACTGCATGTTTTTAATACTTTGTACAAAAATTTGTTTTTCATAAGATTTCAAATTTTTTTATAGATACAATGTCTTTGCTCACGACGAATGACGAATTAGTAGTCCATAGTAACACCGTTTTTCTATTGATTGGATGTTATTTAACACTACATAGAACTACCAAACCAGTCAAAATGACTGGTCAATACACTCTTACAACGACGATTAAAATGTTATGACAATACATTTTCTCAGATCTTTTGACACCTTTTATTACGATATGAGAGTGAAGAAATTAGTCAATTTCTAAATTTTATCTAGCGATGGAAGCAAATATGCGTTTATCGACGGTAGTTCTAGTGTTAAAGAAGTTTCGTACTGGCAAGAAATGTTCGAGATATTATCACTAATCATAAAGTAAGCGTTTACCGTAGTGGAAGAATGCAGTTAATTTTATAATACACAAAGTTGAGCAGAATATTTGTACACGCAGGTTATGTGCATATTTCTGCACTCAAAACCGAAGACGCTTTCAAAAGCGACTTCCCCACAGCCGCTCCCGCATAAATTCTTACGCTTCAGCGATGGCGATCCGCGTACCTTTGGCGCAATTAAACCAGTAGAATGTTGCACCTTTGGCACATCGTAGCAAACTGGTTCTCCGATACAAAAGGAAAGTTATTTGTTGGACGGTCCGTGAGTCGCCTTAGTTAATGGCCAATTGCACGGATTATTTAGTTCTATTTAGTTTATTAAACCGATCTCCACTTATTTAAATTTCGTCAAAAAAAAAAAAAAAAAAAAAAAATACTAAACACATGGTAGTCGATTTTTTTTAAACGACTCTTTCACTCGGACGATGAAACTATTCCCGTTGTCGGAGGTACTGTATAAATTTCATCGTCGTTTCATATGGCAGAAACTTCACCCGAATCACCTCTATTCGGCCGTGAAATAACGTCGGAATATTGATATCGAAATTCAATTGGATCGGACAGAAAGTCACCAAAGAGTCAAATAAAACACGCGTATATATGTATTTATAGAGAGAGAAAGAGAGAGAGATAGGAAGCCGTAGGGGAAGTCTGTTTCTCGACGGTAAAACGAATGGAAATGCACGCAGACACGGAAGAACATAACCGATAATGGCAGGGGATTCATGATCCGGCGCGTATATACGCCAGTGAATTTAATACCGAACGGCTGTGTACGGGAAAGTGCATCGAATCCGAAATAACACGATTACCTGACAATGGCCGTCGAGTCAAATCCAAATACAGTAATTTAGCGCCGGTGACGCAAACAGGTGCAGTTTCTCCGACGGTTTTTTTCCCACGGGGACACGAGCATTTCGGCGAAAAACGGTTAAAAGAAAGTGCACCTCCTTTCAAAAAGCCGTAACGATCCCCAAACGGAGTATATAAATGTTTAAATGGTTAAACCGGTGAATCAATTTCGATTAACTTAAAGAAACGTGTCTGTTGATTACTTAAATAAATCTCAAGGTTGGAATTTCTCCAGTGTATACCAATATGCTCCAAAACGGATCCTTTAAATCATCCCAATTTTATCCACTTGATGGTTTCAAAAATGAGTGGCTTAATGGAAGAACGGCACATGCCAAACTGCTATAAAATTACACAACTACTTTCAGGAAAAATAAGGTTAGATCTTGATGTTACAAAAAAAAACTAAAAACTTTAAATCTATTTCCATTGAGCCCCTCAAATGTTTAACCAGTGATCAAACTATGATTTAATATGTTTGAATGTGGAACAGATTCTTCTGTCCGGATATTCGAATGAATTACAAGCCTCTAATTTCTCGGAAGACGGAAATACGCTCCAGAAAGAAGAAAAGAACTTTTTAAATCGTCTCGAAGGTACTTAACCAAACCCCCTCGGTCACGGGTGTTCAAGTAAAAATAACATTTTAAATCCCCGAACGAATCCAGTGGCTCGAGCGAAACGGCGACGATATACGTATAAGAGCAGCGAGGTTTCCTCACCGGGACCTCCATAAACGGGCCACTACACGCCGCCACAATGTGTTTCTAAATCGTGGAGTTAAGTCGACATTCTATCGCGCAACTGTCCCCTGGTAATCGGTAGGCCCTTTCAACCGTCGATTCCACCACGTTTCTACAATCCGTATCACCGATTCCCCATATTCCGGAGCATGTTACTCCAACCACATCGAGGACAGAGAACCACAATCGAGAAAATTGCTCCGAACCAATAAAAACGAGGGCCGATTTATCAGGTTATTACATACCTCGGACAAGGCGTCCTCCATCATATCGTTGGTATCTCTCATGACTCCGAATGGAAACTAGCACCGACAACAATCACTCAACGCCCACGTTTTATCCGTTTCCTCCTTTCGCGCGCCGTAATCTTTCGCCGTTCCTCTCTTTCACTTCTATCTCCCCGTGCCGGCGACCAAACCGCAGAAGAAGGGTCCTCGAGGGCACAGGAAACCGTCTGGAATCCTGGACTTTAACCGTGTCAAGTAGAGAGAACAACGCCGAGAATCGGTGAGTTCTTGCAAAGGGCTTGTTTCCACTCACGGAGATGAGGTCCTTCTTCCCTGTCACGAGCACATTGTTACCCCGCGATCGGCTCGCCGTCAGCCAGTCCGTTTAAACGCATGTAACTTCGCCGTTCGATCGATCGTATCGCAACGTGTCACTCTTCCCTCCCTCTCTTCTACCCGTCTCGCGCGTCGCAAAAACCACCGCGTCTCTCTGTTTCACTCGTGGTGCCGTGTGGGGGACAAACACCGATGATAACACCTGAATCCAACACACCACACTGCGGGACACCTGGACACCGTTTTCGCCGAGGTTTTACTAGCTGATGCCCCCACTGTACACACGCGGGATCCGAGGATCTACCAGTTCGATGATCGTTCCACAAGGTATAACGTGGTGGTGATGATGATGATGATGGTGTCGCGTCCGAGCGTGGCGAGCTCAACGGGCTCTCACGAGAGGCACGCGAGACGATCCATCGATGTACGCGGCTATGGAAACACTGGCGAGGCGCTGTCAGGTAAGCCATAGAGCAGGTCGACAGACAGCCAGCAGGCCAGACCTGCCTCCATGACACTGCTCCCGTCCTCGTCTACCACCGGACAGGATCTCACTTGCACCGACTGCGCTTGCAGCTGCCTTCCCTCTCCCTCCACCCCTCCCACTCGTTTCCCCTATAGGCACTCGGTCCCCCTCTAGCGACCGTTTCCTCCGGTTCTATCGGTGTCTTCGTTCCTCCCATTCGCTGGAACGCGTGGATCTGTTCTTGTCGCTCACACCGTCCTCGACAAACCTCTCTCTTCTCTCGCCCCAACTAATAGGACTGTATATATTGTTTCTCTCTCTCCAGCATGAATTTTCCTGCAGTTTCCCCTTCCCTCTTGCTCTCATGATTCTCCGTCATCTCCCCAACCAACCGCCCGACCCCACCATACACCCCCGAGTTTCCACAGACACTGCGAACCACGAACGCGCGTCTTCACACGCACCGTCCCGCCACCGGATACCGTCGCCGAATCGGAAGACCGCGGATTTCAAACGGTGTCCCGTGCGTTCGGCGGAGCTAATGTTTGGTACGCGGCAGACCACCGATGAGAGTTAACAGCTGACGTTCTTCAGTGATTGGAAGGATTTTTGGGAGTCGAGCAGTAAAGAAATGATGGTGATTGAGGGGTTGGAAACATGTCCTCTTTGATGATTCGATTTCGAGGAGACTCTGGGTGTTTAAGGTACTATTTCACGTGACAGTAAAGGTACGTTTTCACGTGACAGTAAATCGTGACTGTTACGGTCATGACACTAAATCTTTATGACTTTTGTCGTCGTGAAAACTAGACGTCGCGTTGTGGTGACATTAATTTACAAAAATTTTACTACCCTGTTTAAGAATATGAGTGTTGACCGTTTTGGAAGCAGCCAAGGCCAGCAGCGAACACGTCGAGAAACGTTCGTTTTCCAACAAGAAAGAACATGGGAAAAGAATGCGTGCAACGCGCAAAATTTCGTCTGAAAAAGGAGCGTTCTCGCGGCACTACAAAGCGGTGTTCGCGCCGCTTCGTCGTCGTCCCGAACGCGGGCCGCAACGATGCAGACGAACAGCTGCTATTTCACCTGTTCGATATATTATTTAAATGCTTCACCTGCCGCGATGTCAAGATACCGCGAGATAAGGCGGGGTTGTCCCGAGCATTTCCTGCTTTCACGAACGATATCACGCGAGATTATTTTCGACGCCGTTCCCATTCACGCGGAGCTTTTTTCGCGACATTGGTACTACTCGACGAACTCGGGAAATTGGTAACTTCGACTGAATTTTTTATTAAACGAACTTTGTTACAAAAAAGCGAATGTTACGACACCTCTTGGGACTCTCTGTGGTCTATAAAGAGTTTAAAGTGCTTTAGATGTATTATCTGAGAATTCGATAAAAAGCCCAAAGGACGACAGAACCTTTTGAGATATCTAATAACTTAGTCTGTAACTTAAATTCTATAGGATTTCTTAAACCATCTTCTTAGTGTCTGAGGCAGGTGTGTGAATCTACGTCTAAAAGCTTACAGGTGTAATCAACGAATCAGAAAAAAATGTATCATACAAAAAGTTCGTTCCAGGTTTTGGAACACGATAAAGTAAGGGAATGTATAATTTTTGTCTGTGATGGTTGTCTAACTATGGTCAGTCTTCGTCAGTCTTAATGACTTTTGATCGACTACGCTTTGTCCCCCTTTTGGAACACTACTCTGCGATCCATTCCGACTGTAATCGGGCTAATCTTCTTCATGTATTTTTCCAATAGTTCGGAATCTATGTCACCGATTTGGTGATTCCTTCCGCAGGTTTCGAAAGGCGTGAATCCATCGCCAGCGGTGACCAGGAAAGTTGGAACCACGATCCTGTACCATTCATCGTGCACTAGCTTCTCGAATCTTGGCACTTCGCAAGCACGACACCTGTAATGTTGAGAGATTAGTATGATCATCGTATAGAAAAATAGAAATTAAATTTAGAAGGAATATTTACCTTATCAATACGTCCAACACAGTTCTGGTATTCCCAGTGACGTTATATGTCACTTTTAAGCCGGACCACACTAAAATTCCATTCAATTCTAGTATCTGGAATCACAAAATATTATTTTTTAATCGATGTCTCCCTTTTAGGCAGTTTTCAATGTTTCGAGATTGGAAAAACGTCAATTATTTACATATCAAAAAATGATCATATAATAGTTTATAAATTAATTCACATTTAGTCATTTGATGTTATAAACTTCACATAGAATTAACTATTTATTTGCACGATTTATCAACTTAAAAATGGAATGGTGGTAGGCGCCTTACAGGCTGCAACACTTCGTACACTTCTGTAATGCAGGCAGTCTCTGACAGAGGACGAATTAAACGTACATGCTCGATGTAAAATAGTGAAATACTTGTAAAAAAGTATAATATTTCAATCGAACTCAATCCTTTTAATCTTGTAGAACTTTGAATTTTAATAATATGAAGAAATAATAATTTTAGGGGTATTAAATCCGCAGAAAGTATTTCACGCACTTTCAAGATGCAACTCCCACGCAACTCAAGGGTGTCCCACGTGTTTTCGAAGGGTTGAACCATCATCAGATCACCGAAAGTGACGTCTTTGCCCATGGATTCGATGGGGGCACGTATTCCTCCGGGATTCATACACGCGACTGCAGCATACGTCCAAAAAGTCTCGTTTTCTGCTTTCTCCACGTACTAAAAGTTAATTTAAAAAAATTGTATAACACATTACTACTATAATCTACAACTAAAGAAATTATTAAACTATAATAATCAGAAGTTGAAATAAGTTTCACTGAACAGAAATACTAAAACTAACTAGATTTCAAGGAAACTTTTAATAGATCTTGTAATAACGTTCGGATCTTAATTCTTCTTAACCTAATAAAGTGTTCGTATTTTTTTAGAAAAATGATGTCAACTCACAGAATCCACCATCGCGTCCGTGATCAAATTGCCGAGGTTGCACTCACTTTTACGACACCCATTGCTCAGGTAAACCCTCGATCGACCGATTACGGACAACGATTTCTCGTCGACGGCCACTTTCCAGGGCTTTAGAGCCTCCAACATCACGGGATCTGTAAAAATAGTGTACTTTTACTGTGAAAGATCACTCCAAGTCACTTTAACCCCACTAGTCCTTGTAGAATAACTTCGTAATAAAAATCGATTATCAAATATTGTGTCATCCACGGGAACTGTTCGCGTCATCGTACGACAAGTCGTTTATTCGAATGTGTTTGTACAATCCACTAGATTGCGAAGCTCACCTTGTTGGATGGAGTAATCAAGAAGAATCGGATTTCCGTCCCAATCAACCACCTCGCCCTTCCCGTCGAACCACACCGTCAGGTTTCCCAGATACCTGGAAGCAAGCAAGACTTCTTCACTCTCGGAGAAGAAAAACACAGGGACCGAACTAGAGAACGAATTACAAACTTCGTGAACGCGGCCGCCTGAACAATCAGGACCGTTCGCTTCGTGTTTTCTTGAACCACCACGACTGGGTACTCGTCCTCGGGGGTGTCGATAAAGGGTGGCGGACCTGCAAAACATGACGATTTATTTTGAGCAGGGAAGATTCTTGTACAATGAGGAAGTTAATTTAAATTCGTCATTTTTTATAATAATATCGAAAGATTAAAATTGAACGAAACTTAAAACCCTATAACAAGGGCTTTCCTACGTTAACACTAGAACTACCGACGATAAATGCATATTTTCTTCGATCGCTGGATAAATGTGGAAAACTTTTGAAAATTTAGAAATTTAGAAATTAACTAATTTTTTCACTCTAATATCGTAATAAATGTATTGTCATAACATTTTAATCGTCGTTGTAAGAGTGTATTGACCAGTCATTTTGATTGGTTTGGTAGTTCTAGTGTTAATGAGACAACACAAATAGTATCGAACCGTATTAAAACCTTTATTTCATTGTGTTTTCCATGTAGATAGCGCTGTAAATACATAAACTTACGCAGTATAATAATGACATTGCATGACGATAGAGTTTAAAATATGGACGCTAATGATACTCGGTTTTGGGGCCAGACGGTCAATGGTTTATGAGTTATTTAATTTGAATGGTATCTCTGCGAACCTCTGTCCCGAAATCTTGTATTATTTAAATCGTTTCTGGATTCTGTACGCAGTCGCGATGAAACTTTAACCCACTTTAGAAAGAAGCTTTCATTAAGCGATGAATCAGCTTCTTTCATTCGGTATTGAAAAGAATATTCTGACGAGATTTTCTGAATATTACGTAAAAAGGTTCAAGAAAATACATGTTCGCGATCCGTAGTCTAATGATAATCTAAAATAATTGTTGAAAAATATTCCCTTTCTTTAACCCTCCATTATCATATCTTTTTCAAACATAGTTTTCACACTGGGTCAATTTGACCCAAGTCAATATTCAATCAGCAATTGTTTAAAAACTATTCGCAATATTAAATCGCAAAAAATTCTCAGATGAATTTTGAAAATTGTCAAAGTTTGATCGCGGTTTAAAAAAATTCTTGAATGAAAAGTTGTGAAAAAAAATTATTTTATACCCGAAATTGCTACTACATGGCGACAGCAGTACCATTTTCAATGATGCCTCAAGGATATTTGATTTCGAAGTCAAATTATGGGTCAATTTGACCCAATGTGATAACAGAGGGTTAATTATCGAGTCTCGCCGATGTTTAAAATTTAAATTCTCATTTTTAAATATTTTATATCAAGAGATTTTTCGCCACTTGCCTGTATAAAGGAACGTGTGCGAGTGTCCACCGACGATCACGTCGATCAGGGGACATTCCGCGGCCATTTTTCTATCCACGTCCAGTCCACAATGGCTCAGAACGATAATAATGTCCACACCCTGGGACTTCAAACGTCGTGCCTCGTCGTTCACGGTCTTCACTTCGTCCAGAAACTTCAATCTCCCAGTAGTAGAAATTGTCTGGCAATTTGCAAGATTCAAATTAAGGCCCCACATCGAAACGCGAAGTCACGATTTCGGTTACAGCATCTCTGTGATCACGAGTTTCGGTGGTGACGCTATAACTTCTTAGAATCCGTTCTGATCTATCGTCGAAACGCGAGCAAAAAATATTCAACGATGCTCTCATCTTGTTCGGACATAAGACCATCTTAAACCGTTTGAACGTGGCCTTGGCGCTGCCATTTTCGGTCTCGAGTGGAAAAAAGATCGTTGAAGAGTAACTGACGTTAATTGAGATCCCGAAAGAGACCGATAAATTAACCAGGGAGTTTATCGAAGTTCCTTGAATGCTTCCGGTATCGATTCGATTACATTAAAACGTGTTTAACTAGAAGATTTAATGGACCAGAAATCTGTTTCGAGTCTTTAGAACGTTCTGATTTTCGAGGGGCCATTTATTTTTAATCGATCTAAATATATTCAACGGAAGAAAGAGAATCGTAAGGACTGTCTTATGAAAACAATATTTTCAGGTGATTTATAATTACGAACATTTGTCGTTGATAAGATGACACCGATGACCCCGATCTTGGTACCATTCCTATCGAGGATCGTGCTGTTCCTGTACAGACCCTGGATCAGAAATATGTTTTAAGAGAAGGTCTTCGCTCGAGATCGTTATCAGTTCATGTACCTTCATCGATGGTTCATCGGTTGCGTCTATATTAGTCACTACCACCGGCGCCTTGACATTCTGTAAAAATGGCACCACACCTGCTACGCCATTGTCGAATTCGTGGTTCCCTATTGTCTGCAAGAAATCACGATTCTCCTTAGATTTTTCGAGTATCTTAAATTACGAGGTTAACCATTACTATAGTATACCCCTAATATAGACAAAAATGCAAGAAGAAATATTCTTTTCGTAATTGTTGAATAATTTGGAAATAAAAGGGTTACAAGATACATTTCAATCAAATTCCAATCTTCTTGATTAATCAAAGAATACAAAATCTTAATGTTATCTCCACTATTCCGTTATCAATCGTGGTGTTCGTTTTCTTTTACCCCACAAACGGTCATTATTTCCTACCAATTTTCATCCGGATTACTTCCGCTCGAATTATCCACGAATATGGCCACGATCGTTTCAATTAACAGCCAGTCGTTGCGAATGGTCCGATCGAAACGGTTTATCGTTCGTCGAAATTTCACGGCCGATCCCCGTCCCGATTTTTATCGCCTCGACTCGTTGAGTAACGGAACGAAACCGCGTTCGAATAATCGATCGTTAAACCGTTTAACCCAATTAACCGAAGAACCTCGACGTGTGACACGATCCTCTCTTCCTTCTATTTTTCGATATTTCTCTCGTTCTTTTTCTCCCTCTTTCTCTCTCTTTTTACCATAACATCGTGCGGTAACATATTCATGAACACCGCGGTCACGTTCCAACGATGAACATTGTACCATAGCGTCCCCTGAAAATGGTCCCCGGCGTTCAGAAAAATTGGGTTCGGTCTCTCCTTGATTAATCGATTCACCGCCGTTGATACGCGAGCTATTCCGCCGACGCAATCCTTTTCCTTGTCTGCGTGACATGTGCCGGATTCTGGACCCGTTTGCTCGAACCTAAAAGCATTCGAAACACGATTGAATTCAAGAAAGTTCCAGAAAATTACAGAAATGCTCACCAAAGAGCAAGATTCTTAAAGTAAAATTCATAATATTACTTTAAATGGTTTTAAATTTATTTTCACATAAAAAATATTAGTGAACAAAACATCGAAAGGATGAAAAGTTCGAAAGGATTATTAAATCTGCTAAATAGTCGGAAAGTACTTCTAGTACAGCTTGTTTCCCTAAAATTTATAATAATTGTTAATAGTTTCTACAACCAGCTGCACAAGTGAGTGTAATTACCATATGCTATTCAATAATAAACGCAATAGAAAGGCGAAATCGTTTTGATAATTATGCAGCAAATTCTTGTTGCCAATGGTGGTAATTAGCGGAAACATATTCAATGACCTTGCTTCGTGCTTTCTACGTTGTTCATATTTCCATGGAAATCGGTTGAATGAACACACGTGGCCTACCTCGCGTGGAAATCGTTTAAGTGTATCACCGACAGCTCGAATAGATCATTTCGTCCTGGGTAATACAGTCCTCTTCCGGTGAAGCCAGTGGATATTTGGAACAGGAAAAACAGCAGCCAAATCGTCTGCATTGTGGATTCGTGATATCGATGGAATGTGAACAGCGTTGTTATTGTAAATCAACGATTTTTCTGGTGATTCCTTCGATCTCGATGGGTGATCAGTTTCGACTCATCTTGATAACTTTGTCCTACGATCGAGAAGAGATTGATCAATTCTGTGGTAGAAAATAAACGATTATGGACCATGTTATTTGACCTTGGAATGAGACAAATGAATAATCGACAGATCAATAGAGAAATTGGTACGAAAGTCATGTCGAGTTGAGTGCTCAAAAGTGTACCAAAATTGGGTCTAAAGGATAATGATCCATGTACGCCATTTAACGATTCCGAAAGTGAAGAATATAATTTTAAGTTACTTCGTGAATTTCAAGAGAAGTTTAATTGTGAACGCTCAACTGATAACATTGTTAACAGAGAATATGGTGTAATTAAAAGATTTCGTTCTGGAACACTAGTTCCAAGCTCTCGATTTACTGATAAGTTTTTCTAAGGAGAAGAATTAAAGTATAATAGAAGCAATGGATCGTATCTATCTTTTTACTCATTGATTGTCTGAGAAATTAAAACGTAAAACAAAGTGTTCAAAAGCAATTAATCGAATTGTGTTTGACCAATGGCTCTTTTTTCATGGCACAATTGTATCAGGAAAGAAAATACAAAAAGTATTGTTATGCGGTTAGTAAATATTTTCTTTCGCTCCACTTTTATCGAAGAACATGCACCGGTTTTATCGGAAACGATACCAGCCGGAAATGTAATGAATGAAGATCCTTGAGCACACAATAATTGTCTTCGCGGTTACTTTAAAATAATTACGATATCGTTATCGCGTTATTCGATACCCGTGACTAATTCCTCGGTCTGTATAGCGACCCTAACACAGTTTCAGCTTGACGTAGATTAATTCGACGAGACCCAATATTGACGGAGCATATGAAAACACGAGTCGAAGCTTAATTTTTGTAAATATTCACTCTGTGACATAAAATAATACCGTCAATACGCGAACAACACTAAACGTTAACTGTAATTCGATATCAATTTTAATTCTATTCTAAGTGGATATCAATAAAATTCTGAATAATAGGAATGAGTAGCGTGCACAGAGGTAAAGAATATTATTCTCTTTGTATTAAGTGTACAAATTTTTCTGTGACCTTCTTTTCACAAATTTCCAGTTTATTAACAAATAACCGAAATACAGTCATATTTGAAAATATTCCCCATCACTTCCTACACATTTACACCATTTCCGGGACAGTTAGCGAATCCCCTGTCGACAAAAAATTAGCGATTTTTGATAAATAATTAATTGCGAGTCAACACTTTAATTTGTACACCTAAGAATTTAACAAAACAGTAATCACAAAATTCTGTTACCACATAAACGGACAGCTGACGCTGCAATGTCAAGTGTTAGAGGACAAATTTTATTCTTTCCCGATCACGTGATAGGACGACAATAATAGCATGACACAGCGCGCTAAATTTTAACGATTACGAAGTGCCACAGCGTTAATTGAGAAGAAGCGAAAAAAAAAAAAAACGAAGCGACAAAACAATGGGAATGGAGTTCCGGAAGAGAGCGCGAAATAACGAGGACCATCCGCGCGCTCCGAGGACCGAAATTTTAACGCGACGTCGACAAATTACAAGCGTAATCGAGCATTCCCGCTGACACGAAGGCAGTAATTAATCACTAAACGACGCAATTAACCAGAAATCGAACGTGTAACACACCTGTCGGCTCGCCGAGGACTGGTTGATTGAAAGGAGAGATCTGTCTCAGTGCTCCCTTCCACGCTTAGGCGACTCCATTATCAGGCGAAAACGACGCTCGTTATACAACAGCGACGATAAAGATCGTCCCATTGTCGAAAATCACAATCCATCGTTTGTTCCCGACCGATGAAGATCCCTGTAAACGAAAATTTTACGATCTTTTGTCGGTTAGTTGCAGTTTAATTGCGTCCTTGCTGGCCGCCATTTTGCTTTCTCACGTGGACTCACGCGACGATTGGTCGTTACTTCTATTGCCTGACGTTCTCGACTGTTGCGAAGTGTGTGTATTTGTAAATAATTTCAAGATAAAATAAATATGAACTGGTGAATTAATGTAGCAATAAGGCTAATTACTAGAGTGTGGATGTTTATGCATTTATAGCATCCCTCAGCTTGGAAAGTGCAATAATGATTTTAATGAAATTTAATACTGTTTATGTGTTATTACTAACATAGTAAAATCCCTAGTACAAAATTCAATATTCTGTCCCATATTTATTTTTAGATATTCGTGTCTGAAATTGTGAATTTGCATAAACTTCCGCAGTCTACTAATTACTGTTTGTAGTCTGATCGTGATCTGCACGAATTTATCGGGGATCTGTCGTGTTTTAGCATTGTTATTTTCGACATTCCACTGTTGACTTACCTCTAGACACTTGTACGACAAGATACAGATGGATCATTGGCATCTGGCTTATCTGATAATGGTGAGACAGGGATGCGTTTCATAAAACAATACGATCTGAAATGTTAAAGAAAAGGAACACAAACTAATATAGTAAAACTCGGTGTAACACGATTGTCCTGCTTTTTTAAATTAATGAAATTCTTTCGAAAATCCTTCAGCTTCGACTGAAGGACAAGAATGTTTCTGAAGCAATGGAACGTGTAATTAACCGATAAAAACAGTTCGAGGAACGATCGGTCAAGGGAGGATTCGGCTATAGCAAAGGAAGATTGGTGGGGACGCACGTGGCGACAAAAAGGGGAGAAGGTCAGAAGAATTTCAAACAAAGGGAACCTGTTACAATCCTTCGGTTCTTTGCGCAGGATATCATTCTACCTGGTTCAGTCAGCGTGTAACCTTCGACTCGGTAGTGTCTGTAGTGTGACGGAAGATCGTGTCGCGTGAATATTGTGCTACGCATCCCTTGAACTTCGACGTCGGTCCTCCCATCGGATGGGGGTTAGTTTACCCAATTCGATAACGATAATTATAATAAAATAATAATAATTTTCTGAAAATGTGATAATTATTAAAAGAACGTCGCCAAGTGTTCCATACTATTTTGTAAGAATGACATTCGAAAAACACAAGATAGTATTTTACTACTTCCCTCTAATAATTACTAGGATGTGCATCGCTATAATTTCAATGTTAAAATACGTTTACGTGCAGTGTAATTCTCCAGATTGTAAAAATCAGATTTCCGAGGTGATCGATGATCTCGTGATTTGTTATTATCGAACTGGAGCCTGGATATTACGTCGCATTCCTCGATCGATAAATCACGCGACAAAAAAACCTTAACACGAGTCGATCAACGATAAAAGAGCAATGGACAAAGTATCCGTCAGTCTGTCCGAGAAGTTGGAAAAACGTGCGTTCAAAAATTACGTAATATCCTCGGACATTCGAATCAATGGTGTCTAGTTATGAATTAAAAGCCGCGTTTATGTTCATATTCACATCGTCAGAGAAGCATTTAAAGTATCAACTATCTTACATTAAATTATTTCTCGATGACAGTCCACGGTCTCTGTCGCCCGTGGGTCATCAGAACTCGAATATAGATTATGGATCGTTTTTGTCAGTTTGCCAGGACATCGACGTCGTTATCCATGTCACAGATCGTCATAGATCACGCGACGACAAGAATTCTGATAGATTTCTGATGCCCGGGAATACTCGAGTATGGCCTCGATCGTTTTTAACCCTGAGACACTATATTTTGGAATTTGAAATCTTCGGTGATTAAGACCTTAAAGAAACTTAATGAAAATTGAACTTGTCAACGTATTGGATTGAACGGAAAGTTCCTGTGTTTTTATTCTAAATAAATTCCACTGTATTATTTTTACAGAAAGTGATTTATTTACTCAATAACAGTATTAATTAGTCTAATATTGTTAATATCATCTTCCCGTTAAACCCAATATTTTTTAGGGTAAAATTTCCTCAGAAATTCAATGGTAATAATTGCATAAGTGAGTAATAATTTTGTTACTATGACAATTTGTTTCAAGGAAATGGTAAATTCGAAAAGGAACATACGAAACAATGTTACGCTGGTTGAAAATTCGCACGGTGTCTGAGGATTAAATTGGCCTCACCACAATTTTCCGTCTGCTAAACACACGGTAGCGCTTTTGAAATCCGACCGGCCATTTAATATTCAAGACGTTTTACGATACCAACGGCCTCGATTTAATTCTACACAGCTGTTTTCAAGATCAATAGTCATTATACAGTGATTTCGGAGAAACGGTTACAGACACTTCAGACAATATGGTTTTCATTGCCGAATCGATTTATAACCGAAAGCAGCATTCACACAATTCAAAAATGATAAAATTAATAGATCACCACATACATTTTCTGAGAAATCAAGAAGAAAATCGTTATCAATAGACTACGGAAGTTTATGCAAATTTACCAGTTCAGACATTAATATTTAAAAATTAAAATGAAGCAGAATTTTTCATTCTCTGCTACTCCTCTCGATTATTGTCCCGAATTCGGGTCCGCGCCAGTACAATAATCCTATAGGAAGAAATGCTTCAGAACCTCATAAATTTATTTTTGCCCGAAGCCCGAGCCTTGGAGGCGCAATAAAGTATACGATTTGCAGGTTCCACGGCCTCCCCCAGGAGTGGGGATAACGCCTGGACAATAATCGTGTAGAACTAGCCAGACGATAATCGAGAGGAGTATGTAGATGCTTTATTAGGTAAATGGTAACACATAATAGTATGAAACCTATTTTATCACATTTCCCAAGTTAAAAGATGCTATAAATATATAAACACTATAGTTATTACCAACCGATTTGATAAAAGTATCGAACCATTCCAAAAAATCACATCGTCCGAAGTGGCTGTTACAAGATAGACTTATCTTCGCGATGTGCAAATTTCGTCGAACGATTTAAGGTTTGATCAAGTAAGATAATTACATAGCACCGAATGGAATATTCCCCCCACCCCCTCCTCTTGGATTT